GCCTCCGCTGTTAAAAGCAGTGCGTGGCTGAGAGCTGCTTTGCAGGGAGCTGGACATTGTGTATTGAGGACTGTTTGCAGTGGCAAGCTATCACTTTAAGGGGTGGGGTTTCCTGGTCCTGCTGGCAGTCTGGGGGCTCTGCAGGGAAGTGTGGGACCAGAGACAGCCTGCAAAGAACCAGACTAGAACGAGGCGGGTGAGTTGTCTCTCGCTGCCATAAGGAGCAGCCTGCTTTGTCTCCCTCCGTTTAGAGAGCAGCCTGCTTTGTCTCCCTCTTCTTTGTGGTTCTTGTGTGTGATCATTCCAGATTCCCAGAAACAGAGTCACCTCACACTGCAACCTTCCACCAGAAGCATCTGAGGTTTGTCTCTGACTGCTCTGGGTGGGTGCTGTGAACGTACCAGCCATGAAGGGGTTAGAAATTTGGCTACCCCAGAACTCTGGCAAATGGCTCTGAGATTCCACCCACCATGTCAACCAGCTCATGCATAGAATCATAGAATCCTAGGACTGGAATGGATCTCAAGAGGTCTCTAGTCCAGTCCCCGGCACTCATGGCAGGACTAAGTATTATCTAGACCATCCCTGACAGGTGTTTGTCCAACCTGCTCTTAAAAATCTCCAATTATGGAGATTCCACAACCTCCCTAGACAATTTATTCCAGTGCTTAATCAACCTGACAGTTAGGAAGTTTTCCCTAATGTCCAACCTAAACCTCCTTTGCTGTCATTTAAGCCCATCGCTTCATTAATAATGTCTCTCTGAAAAACTACCAACTGTCTTCAGTTGTTTTTCCCCTTAGACTTGCTTCCCATGTGATTTTGCCTACCAGCTCCCTGAGTTTGCTACCGTCTGCCTTCTTGAAATCCATTGTCTTTATTGTGCTGTTCTCCCTCCTACCATTCCTTAGAATCATTAACTTGACCATTTCATGATCACTTTCACCCATCTGCCTTCCACTTTCAAATTCTCAACCCATTCCTCCCTATTTGTCATGGCTCTGGCTTTAGGCAGCTGCTCCCCACCTTGTGGCCCAGGTATGGCACCTGTGCCATCCCCACCTTGCATGTCCCAACTTTTACAGTCAGCCCTGCATCCTGGAGGCGACTCAGCCCCTCTTCCCTAGTAGCTTTCTCCACCTTCTGAAATAACAAATTGTCTCCAATACATTCCAATCCCTCGTCTGATCTCATTTCAGCCCATCCGTGATTAATCCCCTGGCTGGAGATTTGGCTGCATCATGGACCCCAGCACCGATCTACTGCTTCCCCATCACCATGGAGGCTTCTCTTGTCATCTACATCCTCGCTGCTCTCCTGGCTATGGGTGAGTGGGGTCTGTTCCTACAGGGGCTGATTTCCTAACTTCTCCCATTTAACAAAAACCCAGCACAGCCTGTTGCTTGAAATGGTTTATTAAAGTAACTACAAAGCAGCAGCAGAATAACAGGGGCCAGGTGTGACTGGAAACAGCCAATGAGGAGATGCCTGGGAGTCCCAAGTTCCCGTGGCGATGAGTGAACCAATCCTGGAACTGGGAGGTAATGGTTGGAGTTGGAGTCCCTGAAAACGTGCCCTGACTGGTTACATTCCCCAGCTGGCCAATGAACAAGGAGATTTTGGAAAGAGGATCTTCCACTGCGAGTTTGTCTGGAAGGAACCAGATTTGAATCTGAGTAAGGAGAGCACAAGATTTTAGGAACTGGATTTCTGTCTCCTCCCCAGCTTGCGGTCTGTCACTGTAGCTGCACTGGAGTCAGTGGGACCAGATCCCCATCTGGTGTGGATCAAACCCAAGGGAAGGTGAGGGAGGGACAAATCCAGATGGCTCATGTTCTCTCTCCTTCTCTAGGGGCCTGTGTGAGGTTTGCGATGGACCAGGAACCAGCTGCACGGGCGACCTAGAGACCTGCAGTGCTGGGGAAGACACTTGTGGCTTTGTTCTAATCGAATTCACCTTGGGTTGGTGAGATGGACTCTAACCAACATGGGTCAGCAAACAGGCTGGGGAGCCAGGACGCCTGGGTCCTATCAGGCAGTGGGGTGGATTTGTCTCAACAGGGGTTGACTGGGAGCCAGGACACCTGGGTTCTATACCAAACCATGTAGCTACCTTCCCGAAGGCTCAGCATTGCGATGCCGAACTCCCAGTGGTCTTCACAGACCATGGGTCAGGCGCCCGGTTCCCGTATGGTGCATGAGGAGACCGAGGTGCCTGAGGATGGGATCCACAAAAGCCAATACAACAAACAGGAGCTGCCTAAGTCAGCCAATAGGACAGGTGGGGGGGGAGCAGAGCAGATGGAGGCTGTGGGGAAACTCAGCAATGCCTTGAGGCGCAGAGCGGAGGAGGGGGAGGCCGATGAGTCCTAGTCCCACTCAAGGAGTGGCACTGCTCCCCTGACACCGATCACCTGCTTTTCCCACCCACACAGATGGACTCCCCCTATTGATTGTCGTGAAAGGCTGCACTACTGTGACCATCTGGTACTGGTTAGACGTGGATTCAGAGATCTTTGGAGAGGTCAGTACAGGTCTAACCAGGGCCAAATGCACAGCAGCCTCCGACACAGCCAGCACCGCTCCAGGACCAGCCGGGCTCCTCTTCCCAGCCACAGCTGGGCTCCTCCTGCTGCAGCTTCTCTCCTAATTTCCCACCCAATGCAATGGCCACGGGCCCTCAGTGACACCCCTGCCACTTGCGTCTGCCCCTCTCTGCAGCCGCTCTCCCCTCTCAGGGACTCTGGGCTCCCGGCCAGATTTACTTCCCTTTTATTTTGTTGCACTGAATAAAACAAACCGGAAACCACATTTTTTGGAATTTTTTATTTATTTCAATGGGAAAAAAATTAATTCTAGTGGGAGGGTCCGACAAGAAGCTGCTTCGTCTTAGAGTGACCCCGAGTGGTGAAATCAGGCAGCACAGGCTGGGGGCTATAAATTCTCGATAAAGCATCTTTTTATATCTAGGCTTTACTGAATTTTATTTTTAGCTTTTTTAAAATTTCAATGGACAATATCAATGTTTATTTTTAAGCATTTTTCTATTTTTATAGATTTAAATTTGCACGGTTGTGGGAAATGATGGGGAGCAATAGTGATTTAGTAACAGTAATGCAGAGATGAAGAATGAAATTGTTTTTTTATTACTATTATTATTAAGACTTTATTAATATTTATTAATGTTAAGACTTTATTTTGTATCAAATGAACAAACAGAATTTCATGAGTAAAGTTTTATGAATGAAACAGAGTTCATTCATAAAACTGGTTATCGCAATAACTGGCTAAATGGCAAGAAAGCTGCTCGTTAAGTCCCCGCAGTTCGCGCTCATTGAAAAAGTCTGCAGTTTGGTTCAATTACTGTCCGCTGGTTAGAGCCGTAGCTGTTCATTCGGCTACTCTTGCCGTTTCAGTTCAATTGCTACTTGGATCACTGATCCTTGCTGTTTGGGTCCCTGTTTTAACATGTAACTCCTGTTTACTGTTTGCCTCCCAACGTCGTAAATTGTTCATTGCACTTGTTTTGATAAGACTCCATATTGTAACCAAAACTCCATTTGGAAATGCTCACTCCATTTTGCAAAACCCTGCTGTAACCTTATTAACTTAGTTCAGATGTGTGAATGAGGTCTGCGTGGATAATAGAATCAACCTCCCGGGCCCCAGCCTGTCCTGAAAGTGAAAGGCAGACAACAGCCCTGACAAAGTGAGAAGAGCCCACTCCAAAAGAAAAGAACAAAGGTGCAATTGAAACAAGATCAAAGCCAGGGCCGAGGCTGAAAGTCACATCTGCAATGGACGGGTGATCAATCACCGAACCCAGAGGCAGCGTGACACAGACAGACCCAGAGACTCTTGTTCAAACTAAAGCCTATAAAAAGGATGGGGGAGATGGTAGGGTTACCATATTTTGTGCCTCCAAAA